GAGTGTAATACCTGGAAATGCTGCAGCCATCTTGTGACCTTGAGAAAAAGGAAAGATAAAAAGAATCTAGAACTTTCATATGCTGTTGAACCACTGAAAAACCAAGCATGTGCAGAATAGCCCTCACCTCCTACAACGGGAGACACTAAGTTCCTTATTGTTTCAGCCAGTTGAATTCAAATTTTCTGTCACCGGCTTCATCCAAGGGTTCTTGTCACAATAGATACCTGAGCCAAGCAGTATGAGAGATATATAACAAGTATAAGTCCTGGTCCCTGTCCTCACCGAGCCTATCCCAAGATTGGATATTCAAAAAGTGTTCGATCTACCTCTGCTTGCACTCCAGTTACAGGGGCGGGCTATATTCCCTGAAAGCATCTTTCTTTCCTTTACTCTAAGTTTAATTGATTACCTCTAAGTTTCAGCCTCACCATTTGACTGGTCTCAACGTTGCTAACCAGATCCCTCCCCATCGCTTCTCCCTATCTCTGAGGCTCAAAGCAAGATACTTGGGCTTGGCCCAAAGAGACCATCGGTGAAACTCTGCATTCCTAAATATTTGTTCTTTGAAATGTCTTTCTCAATTAAATCTCACCCAAATGTTTGAGAGTCAGGCTGAATTCCAACTTCCTGCTCCAGAACAGACATGTTGAGCCTGCATAATTACTGCAGCCAGCTTCATTTGCTATAAAAACATGGATTTTTGCTCCTTCTCAACAGTAAAATAATCAATAAATAAGATCCAGATGAAAAATGCCAGCATTTAGGAGAACAACTCTTTTACAGTTCTTTTCTTTGGGGTCTAATTAACACATTGGGGATAAAGTGTGCTGTTATATTTACCCAACGAGCTAAGCTGAAACACAAACTTTCCTTTCTTCCTGCTGAGATACAGCTTCACATCAGAAATATAGGTGAAACAGACTAACAGAGTTTCAAAACATTCCAAATGTTCAACAAATGGATCTGCAAACCTGTGATGTGGACTTCCTCCAACTCCTCCCTGTTCACACTGGCTATTCAATTTTTTTCTCTCTCCCCTAAGAACACATTGTATAGTTACTGTCAAATGAAACACAGATAGTCCCATTAGCAGGAGAAGCAATCTCTCTCTCTTTCTTATAAATGAAGACGACTTACCTTTTTGGACAATCACCACCCAGGCCATGAAAGTTTCATGAAGGGCTCTCACAGTGGATGACACCTTTTCAATTATAACACTGCTAAAATAACCCCCCACAGAGCCACACGGCATGGAGTGTACATCCAACACAGGACACCTATTTATTCTCTAATTATATGGCAACATATTCTCTCTGTGTGTGTACTGATGAAGATAAAATATTCTTTTTAATTCTATGGCCTCCTGCGGGGGAGGGAGAGGGGATTGTACATAGGCAAATACTGATAGTCCCCAGTGCTAAATCACAGGCTTTGCTTCAGACTGCCCCACTGCATAATCTAAAGAAAATCACTCACTTTCCTTTGTTCTATCACAAGAGTGGTCTTCTCTAAGAGTGGTCCCAGGACCCAGAGCATCAGTATCACCTGGGAACTTGTTCAAAATTCAAATTACCGGGCCCACTCAGGACTCACCGAATCAGAAACTCTGGGTGGAGCCTAGCAATCTGTGTTCAAACAAGCTTTCGGTGCTGAAGTTTGAGAATCAATGATTACAAAATAGGAAAGGGAGCATCATTTTAAATTGAATCAGAGATCGGGGATACCTAGACTCAATCGGCAGAGTGCAGGCTCCATTTACCCATCAGGGCAATCGGGCTACAGAGTTCACCAAGTAGCTGCGGATGCTGGAATTGAAGAAGCCCATGGTTACCTGGCACCAATCTCTATGGATACCTAGCAAGATCACAGCTGCCAACACTCACCAGCTCCCTCCTGCCATACCTGACTGGCAGAAGCTCTGCAGAGCAGTTCTCCAATGCCATATCTAAGGTCATCAATGCAGCTACCAGTGGGTTACCTCTGGCAACTAGGAGCTGGGATCATAGAAGCCCACAGACTCTCCAAATCTCATAGCCAACAGCTTCAAGCCTTTTTACCTCAGAGCCTTGAACCACTAGAGGAGAGGCGCAGGATTCTCTTTGTTCTGTGGTCCCATTTCAGCACTTCTTCAGATGTCTTTTGTGTATTTGCCTCCATACTACAACTAGACTTTAAACTTGTGGAGGATGGAAGCCTAGAATGTTAGCATCATGAGGTATGGGATGCTGCCTGTCTGGTTCATTGCTGTATCCCCAAGGCCAAGACTGGTGCCTGGCACAGTGCAGGAGCTCAGGAGCTATTTGTTGGCTAACTACTCCTAGCACAGTAAATGCCCTGCCCATCAGAGGTCCAATAGTAGGTCCAAGCCCTCAAGTCTTCAAATATCTAAATTCTAGAAGTTACGGTTGAAAAGGGATAAAGACACCCTTTGAAACCTCAGTGAAGGAAAAACGGAAAAGCAAAATTAAAAGCCTGAATATTTCCCAGCTGGAGCCATAGCCTTGGGCTCACAGGGTGCTGACTTCCCAGCCAATTGCTCACCCTAGATCTGAAACTAAAGACCTCTGGGGTCAGGTTCAAAGCTTGAGTTCTGAGCAGCTGGCACCTCACCTGTCCTTGTGCTTCTCTCTCAAAGGCCAAATTCTCATTGGCCCTGACTCTGCTGTCCTTTGACCAGCCACTTAACAAGTGAGCTGTCCTGCCTCTCTCTTAGTACTCAGGCCTGATGCACAGTCCTCCTCCTTTCCTAACTGGTAATCTACCCAAGGCTCAATTGCAAATCCTCCCTTCCCCAGAAACCATCCCTAACCCTATCCCCTCCCAAAGGGATTTCACCTGAGACTACCTATACTCGCTTCCTTGGGTACAACACAAGGATTGCTGTTTCCTGTGGGTTGCACTTTATGGGGCTGGGCTAGGTCTAAGGGCTCCCTTTACCCTGCGATTTTGATGCAGGCACAGGACAGGTATGCAACAAACTGTCACCTAAGTGATTTATCCTGAGAATAACAGCGCCCAACAAGAGAATCCAGAGACCAATCCTCTGCCTCTAACCTCACATTCAACCTTCAAAGCCTGCCAAGAACAGGCTATGGCCTGCCTGGAACACTTGGCCTGTGCTAAGAAGGCGGTCACGTCTGCATAGAGCAGTAGAAAAAGCCCTGAACTAGGACTCAGGAGACCTGGTTTACGTTCCTTTCCACCCTTAAGTGCAAAAGGTTAGTCCTTTCACTTCTTTGGGCCTCAATTTGCTGATCTGTGAGATGAGGTAGAGATTTCAGTTGTGGACCCTTGAATTGCTACGGCTTAAACAATATAAGAGTAACGGAGAGAGCGGTGCGTGCAGTGCACCTGCCAAAGCCCGCCAAAGGAGCTGAGGATGCAGCGCTCCGGCCGGTCGGTTCAACACCCTTCAGGGACCCCGCCCAAACTGCAAGGGACAGGGGTAGAGGGCCCCCTCCACAAAGTCCCCAGCTCTCGGTCCCACTAAACCTGCTTTGAACCTTTCTCTAGAACCTCTCCAACAAGGAGGGTTGCGAGGCCAGGTTCCTCCAGCTCCGAAGAAGCCGCACTGGAAGGCGAATCCGGGACTCCGGGAGCCAGCGGACCCGCGCCCCCAGCTGGCTCCGTCAGCCCAGACTAGCCCCCGCTCGCTGCCACCTGGCGCGGTAATTAACCCCTGCTTCCCCGGCAAAGCGCGGGAGGGGCGCTGCTGCCGCGGCCCAAGTACACTTGCCCGAGCGAGCTGAGCTGGCTGGGATCCCAAACCACCGAAAGGCTTCCGCCAGCCTGCCGGAGGCCCTGTTCTATCCGCTCCCGCAGGGACGGAGTGGAAGATCCTGGAGCGGAGCCACTTGGAAATATTTTTCTAGAGAACAGGACGACGCGGGAGCGAAGCCGACCAGCCTCGTAGCGCACGGGCTAGAGCGGACGGATAGCGAGCAGCGGCTACCGTAAGGAGAAGCCCGGGAATTCTGGTCCGGGAGAAAGCAGCCAAGGCTCGGGGGCTCCGGGAATAGTCAAGCCCCGACTCTGCGCTCCCAGGCTCGCGGGTAATGACTCCGTGCCACTCAAGGACCTTGACTCCCGCAGGAAACGATTTTCCATCTTTCTAAGTCGTCTTTTTTCTAACAGATTAGGACAATAAACCTAGTGCGGGAGAAAGGCGGCTGCACTCTGTAGCCCCGGCGGGCCACGACGACCACCCAGGTAACCCACCTCCAGCACTGCGGCCCCGGGCCGGGCGAGAAGTTGGGAACTTACGGACCGCGCTCCAGGAGCGCACTGGGAATGACTCGCTTCTCTTTCAACTTCTTGAGCGAGGGTCGCCGCCGAGGGCAGGAGGGACGTCCGGGAAGCCAACCCACAGGGTTGTCTGGTGTCCCGGACCTCCCCGGAGAGAATCGGGAAGACGGCGTGAAAAGATGAAAGGGGGTACGTTCCGTTTGGCGCAAAACTGCGCATGGTACGGGCTTGGGGCTTGAGGGCAGAGAGGCGCTCGGCGGGCCACGGCGGGGAACCTGGCCGCGCCCTGCAGGCTATGTGCCCCGACCCCCGCAGGGAGGGCACCCGTGGGACAGCGCGCAGACGGCGCGCCATGGGCGGCTCCGGGGGTGGGAGTCCCCAGACCGTGGGGGGGCGGGCGGGGGGCTCTCCCGAGGACAACCGCGCCGCACCGTTGCGCTCGGGTCTTACCGCCCCGGGCGCTGCTTCCCGACTGCGGCCAGAGGGCCCGCGCCGGGGCGCCCCACGTTCAGCCCAGACCCCCCGGCGTTTTCCCAAGCCCTGGCATCCACCACCTCCCCGCGCCAAACTCGACTTCCGCAGCCCGGACCCGAGCGGGGCAGAGGGGATGGATCCACGGCACCGGTGGAAAGTTAGTCGCGAGCTGCAGAACACGCTCCCCGGGGCCGGAAACCCCAGCCCCCGTGCCCCGATGTCCCCGTGCCCCCAGCGCTGCGAGGTTCCGCGTCCTCTGTCCCCGCCCCGCCACCTACCTGCTTCCGCAGGCGGCCCTGGGCTCGGCCGGCCGGTCCCTCGGTCTGTCCTCCGGAGCCTGAACAGCGCCGGAGCGCCGGAGCTGCGAGCGGCCCAGAGCCGGGCGGCGGGCGGCGGGCCCCGCGAGCTGGTGAGCGAGCCGGCGGGCGACTCGAGCCCCGGCTGCTGCCGCCAAGCCAGCCCCGCCCCTCCGCGCCGCGGTCCCTCCCTCCCCTCCCGCCCCCTTGCTCTCGGCTCCCTCCCTTCGCTCCCCCCACCCCTTTTTTTCTCTCTTTTCCCTGCTTCGGTCCTTTCAGACCCCGCTCTCTCCAGCACGCTAGCTTCCTTTCTCCTTTCAGTCTCTCTCTAGCTTTCTTTTGGGTTCCTTTTCATGATTCAACCTTTCCCAGCATCTCTCTCATCTCCCTGCGCACCGCCCCCCCCCCACACACACACAAGCCGGCTTTGCGTTCTTCTCGTTTCCTCGGACCCTCTTTCTCTAACTCCCCTCTATTTCTCTTTAGTATTCTCTCTTCCTTTAACCTTTTCCTGTCTTCATTTCCCTTCTCATCCCTACTCCCCATCTCCCTCAGGGTGGGGCACAGTGGCCTTCCTGCTGCCTCCTTTTCTTTGAACCGAATGGGAGGTGTCCGCTGGGGGTGGGGGGTCGAGAGGGACCGGGAGCGACCCCATCCCACCCGCGCTGGTAACAGGCTTGGGGACCGACAGGGGGACCAGGGCTGGAGCAACGTCCTAGCCGGCTGGGGGAAAGGCCAAGAACTCAGTGTCGGGCCCCTGGGCAAACTGGCTGCGCCCGCCTAGTGAGCTCGGAAACCGGGACCTAGAGACAAGGGAGCAAGAAGCTTCCCTCGCGAGGTCGGCCCCAGAGGCAGAGCCCAGACCGCCACGGCTCCTCGGCACAAAGCAGGCCCCTCGTCCGGCCCGGGAGGGTGCCACAGACCCACCGCTCGTTCCAGCTTCTCTGCCTGTCCCAAGCCCCAGGCTCCGAAGGAGGAAACCTCCTCCCTTCTCCACAGCACCTTGGGTTCCTCACAGCCCAGAACACAAGCAGGGGGCTGAGCCCGAAGGGTGGGAGACCGGATCCAATGTGGCAAAAGAAAGCCTTTCTCTCCTCCCCCGTTCTCCAAGCACTGCGGGACTGACCAACGCTCTCCTGCTTACCGGGGATGGAGGAGCAGCACGGTGTTTTGCTTCTGTAGTTGGTCTTCTTTTCTCCTTGAACTAAAGAGCAGGAAGTCACAGACTTGGGGAAAGGTGCTGAACACACCTCAGGGGAGGGATTTTTTTTTTTTTGCGGGGGGAGACTAACAGGGCACATTGTCTGGGGCTTTGAGAACTGAGTATCTGTACATGTGTTTGAGCACCTAGCTCTTCCAAATCAACCACTGATAATCAACTTCATTCTGAGCCTGATGCAGCCCGTCTCACCCTAGAAGCTTTTTCAGCCCAGTGGGATCCAGAGAAGAGATGTAAGGTTCTGCTTCCCAGGGATCTCATTCTGCAGCCCCTGCTTTGTCAAGGCAAGATCATGATTCTCCTTGTGTCACCCCCTAATTGCTGGGGCCAGAGTTTGTTCCCCTTCAGGACTATCCCTTCCACATTACCAACCAGAAGCAGACCCTCCACAGAGCCCGGGAATGGAAACCTACTTTGGGATTTTGGCAAAACCCCAAACATGTATCCCATTGAGTTTCCTACCTTGGGACACCAAATCAAATAAAGAGCCCCCTGCCTGGGCCTCTGTTGCTCACACCACGGAACCAGAAGAAGGAGCTAGTCAAGGCTGGGACAAGGATGAGGCAGGAGAGGCACCTAGGCACTAATTTAAGGAGGCGTTCACTATCCGGTGCACAAGTGCAGATCACCATTGGAGAATGAGCGCCCCCTTAAATCCTGCACCCTGGGAGTCTTCCTGCCTCTCCGAACCCTGACCCTGCAGTCAGGTCTTAGAGCTGTTCCTGACCACTCCTGTTTACTTAGTCCATCTCTGCACCTCTCTCGCCTTCAGTGTCCCCACCCGACTATGAAGAGGCTAAAATAGATGTTGTCTAAGATTTCCCCAGCTCTGATTTTCTGCAGTCAGTGGAGATCAGAGATACCACAGGTTAGGAGAATGGGTTCTCACTTGCTAGGTTTGGATTCCAGCTCCACCACTTTCTGTTTGTGACTCTGGGCAGCCACTTAACCTCTTGTAACCTTAGTTTCCCTATCAGTAAAATGGCTCAGTACTGGGAGCCCCATGAGGATTAAGCCGAATAATGCACATAGTAGCACTTGAAACTGGTGGCAGTTAATACTGTGCAAGGGAGTTGTTTGCATATGTGTTCTTCATTGTCACATTCCCTTTTGGATTATGAATTCCAGCTCCTACCAAGGCCCCACCCTCACCTCCGTGTGGTAGCCATCCATTTATAATTTTCAAACCGCAGTTCTAATAGGTTTGGGGATGTAGACAGGTCTTCCCGGATAGCCACTCCACCCTGTCTCAACAAGCAAGTGCTCAGGAAGCAACCAGCTCCCCATTTTCCTCTCACATACTCCTGCATTGACAGGTAAAAATTGTGTTGCTGGGGGGTAGCTGGCCCGCTCCACCCTGGGCTGGGGATTGCCTGGTTTTCTGCCATACTCTAAAAAGCCGCACGGATCTCTAAAGCTGCCCCTTCTCCACCCACATGGCAGGTCTCCAAGGACACATGTCCCAACAGAGCCAGGAACACTTTCAGCAAACATCTTGGAGTCAGCTTGGGGTCATGTTGGAGCCGTGATCCATCATTTGCTAGTCCCTGAGAGCCTGCTTACGGGAGGGCTGCTTTGCAGATCCCACTGCTGTGTGTATATTCAACCAAGCTGCAACAAGTTTATTTTGGAAGTTATGGTAACATTGAAGACCAGGCTACTCATGTAAGGCATAATCTGAGACAAAAGTCCACTATGCTGAGCTACAATCCCTGTCCTCAAAAAGCTTATACTCTAACTGGGGCAAGAAGACTGTAAAATAGGAGTAGAATGAGGTTGATTGATAGCAGGGACCCCAGAAGCAGACACTCGGGTTCAAATCCTGGCTCCGTCACCTGTGAACTTGAGCTACTTACATGTTCTCATCTGCAAAATAGAAATGCCAATGAGATAAGCAGTACTATGATCCCTACCTTACAGAGAAGGAAACTGAGGCTCAGAAAGAACTACCTGGCTCAAGGTTACACAGAAAGTAGAGCTGAAGTCAAACTGACTTTATAGCCCTTGTCCCCACCCTCTACCTTCCCCCTTTAGCCTCTCCACCCTTCTTTCTCCAGGGCTCCCCAGAATTACCTCTTTACAAAATGGCATCTGAAACCCGGCTCATTTCCACCTCTGCATGCTTCAGCCTGGATGGAGGTGGACAGTGAAGAGGCCGAAGCTCTGGTGACCAAGGTGGGGGGGCCTTCTCCTTCTTAAAAATAAATGACCAGAGGCTAGGATGCTGGACTGCCTGTGCAGGATACAGACCATGAAGGGCCACACCTTTTCTTCATTCAGGTATACAGGAAATTCCCCTTGTCCTTTCCTTGCTGAAGCATCACCTTCCCCCACCCCCCATCTTTCTGCAGAGCCCTGACTCAGGGAAGAATATCCACAGAGCACGCACCAAGGATGACTGGAGTTTGTTGAGTGACAGAAAGATTTTAGAACTTGTAGGACCTTTTAAACTCCTCAAGTGAAACCTGAAGTATTAGAGTGCTTGAGAGAATGTCTCTTTTCCCACCAGACTCTAAGGCGTTTGGGGTCTTCCTTACCTTTGTGTCTATTACAAAGCCTACCATAGGGCTTTGCTTGTTAAGAGAATAAGTAAAATATCTACAATTTATTAAGAAGGTATAAGTAATAAGCCTCCCAACAATTCTAGACAGCAGGCATTATCACCCCCCCTTTCACAGAGGGGGAAACCAAGGGTCCAAAGGTAGCTTCCCCAAAGCCACCTAGCCAGCGAGTGACACAACCCAAAGGCAAACTCAAGCCTGCTCAAAGCTCTTTCCTGATGCTAGTGTCTTGAGCTGTAGGGCTGGGACTGGGGTAAGGCAAACAAAGGGCCTGGGGCAAAACATAAGGAGGCACACATTATTAGGTGCAAACTCTGCACTTGCACACCCTGAGGAAAAACTTCCACGTCCCCTCCAGAGAACTACAGGGGGCTGTGCGATCCATGTGTCCTAGCTATCTGACGAGGTGCAGAGAAGAAACCATTGAGCAGACAGGATCCAGGGCAACTCACCAGTGTTAAATCTGCTCACATAACACACACTGACGTGGACGCCCCGACCCATCCTCAGATATACCCACTAATAACAATCCTGCCCAATACACAAATTACTAAGAGATAACAACGCAGCACCCCTACATATACAGCAACACACCTCAAAGTGCCTACACGTGCATATACCACAATTCCTGCACTCACTTAAAAGAAAGGGAGAGAAGTGGAGTAGTAGGACAAAACCAAAGCAGAATGACTCTTCACAAGCCTTTTTGTGAACCTGCAACCACCAATCCAAGTCTTGATTAACTTGGTTGTATTTATCAGATCATGTTCAATATTTAATAACTTTGAATATGGACTGAATATCTAATGAGATTGGTAGAGATCTATTTACATATAAACGTCAAAAGTGCCGATTGATTTGAACTGAGAATTGAGTTTGTGGCTCAGTCCCACAAGCTAGTGCTGGAGATCTCTCCATTTTACATTTTCATGGGTTTATTTCAATTACAGGTCATCATCATGACATTATTACACTATTATTTGTTACGATGCTCTGCTCTTATAGAGTATTACACAGTCTCAGGAAATGTGGCATTTAGATGTTGAATTTCCTTACATCCAGGCAAACTTGGATTGGGTCTCTTGTTCTCTTTTTTTCACTTTTACCAGGAAAAGGAACCAAATATGATACTGTGAAATGCATCTTATGTCCTTAGTCCTCCTACAGGCACAAGATGATCTGGAAGCAATTTATGTGGTACTTTGTCCAGACCAATTTGTCCAAGAGAAGGAATTCTGCTTTGTGAACTGGCAACAAGCAACATGAATTTCTGAATCTTTTTTACAGAAATAAAAGAATCAGATGCAAAACACAGCGTTCATAGGCATCATGGTCTGTGAAAGTCCTTAGAGGA